TTCTCTTTGATTTTTTTAAATAGCACCTTTTCCTGTTTAGCTCTTCTATTTCAGACTTTCCTTTCTTCCTTTTTTATTAGATCCTCTAACTTTGGTACTTTAATTATAGTAATTGCAATAATAATTATAATAATAACAACACTAGAGGTCACCATATTAAACCCTGTGCTAACTTTATACCTGTATTTGCATTTTAATTCATAAAGCAACTGCTTAGTATTCTCCACAGGTCTGTTTTCCTCCTCCTCACATTCTGGATACTCTACTCTCTTAAGGTAATGGCCCCACCTGTATGCTGATGACTTACATTTATATTTTTAGCTCTCATTTCTATACTGAACTCCCCATCCTTGTAGCCAACAAATAATCTGTGAATATTTTCAAAAGGCGCATCAACCTAATACAATCTGAATGGAATCCCTCTTCGCTTCTTTTTATCCTATTCTTTATCTTGGCATTATTTAACCTGTAGTTAAACACACAGACAAAACAAAAATATACTTCACATAAACAAACATACAGTCCGTATGTTAATGTAACCTCATTATTTCTCCAGTCTGGCCCTGCTGCTTCATTCCTACCATCCTTGTCTCATTGTAGCTTTCTTCATCTTCTGTCTGTACCTTTGTGCCAACGTTAACAGCGCTCCGCCTCTGGTCGTGTCCCTCCGTAATATTTCTAAATTTTAAATCAGAATGTATTTCCTGCCTGAAAGTCTTCAGCCCTCCTTGTTCCGTCATTGCTTCTCCTTAGATCTCCATCTTGCTGCTCCTTTTACGTACTGTAGGAGTCACATCATTCCTTGACTGTGCCATGCTTTTTCCCCAAACTTTTGTTTGTGTTGCCTCCTGTATCCCCAACTTTTGCCTGGCTGACTCTTACTATTTATTCATTTCTAGAACTCAGTCACTTGTTTCCAGGTCTTTTTCCTTTTAGCTCCCACAGCATCCCATGCGTAGCTCTAGAGTCTTGTTGATTATCCACTTAAATGAGCTTTTGTTTCAGTTCCTTTTGCTGTATCACGAAGTCCCAGAAGACAGTACATTTTTTTAGTTCATGTTTGTAACCTTAGCACCTAGTTAAGTACTTGGCTCCCAATTCATTTTTAGATAGTTTCTTTTCTTAAGATACTTTTTTAAAGTTTATTTATTTTTGAGAGAGGGGGGAAAACATGAGTGGGACAGGGACAGAGAGAGAGAGAGAGAGAAAGAAAGAGAGAGCATCCCAAGTAGTCTCTGCACTTCAGCGTAGAGCCCAGTGCAGGGCTCAAACTCACAAACTGGCAAGATCGTGACTTGAGCTGAAATCTTGAGTTGGACGCTTAACCAACTGAACCACGTAGGCGCCCCTAGATAGTTTCTGTCTTAAATGGTGACACAACCATCCATCCTTTCCCAAGACTAGAAATATAGATGTTTTTCTAGTTTCCTCTCTCTTTATCACATGTAGCCAGTTCCAAGTCCTTGAATTTCACTTTCACTTGGGCATTAGGTGTTTGTATTTTTTTGTTCACATGTTTGTTCGTTCATTGAATGAATTTCATTAAGTGCTACTTTGTGCTGGGCAGTGTACTAACTATACTGCTTGCTGGACATAGTGTTGAATTTGTAGGATTTATAGATTTTTTTTTGCAGAAATCACATGTTTACAAGATAACTTTTTCCCTTTAGAAACAAAGGTTTATCTGAATAGATAAATATAATTTTAGGCATCTAAGGAAGGTTTTATAAGTACATATTCCTCCTTTGATTTTATACATTTATTTTAAAGCTTATTTATATTCTTTTGCTATTGTGAATGAGGTTTTTTACATTGTTACATTTTCCACTGTGTCATTGCTCATGTATGAGAAACTGATCAGATGATCTTTTATCTGGCCAACTTATTAAATTTCTTAGTAGTTTTTCTGGACTTGGGTTTCCAGATATTTGTTATGTCATTGTCAGATATCAGGGGTTTTTTCCTCTCGGTATTTATGAATTTAATTCATTTTTTATATCTTAGTACATTGCTTAGAATCTCCAATACAGTGTTGAATAAAAGCAGTGATATTTAGCATCCTAGTTTTTATTCTTTTAATGAAAATGCTTCTTATCAATCCTTGCTGTGATGCTTATTTTATTTTTTAAAAAAATTTTTAAATGTTTATTTTTTTGAGATAGAGGAATCACGTGCAAGCGGGCAGGGGGCAGAGAGAGGGAGACACAGAATCTGAAGCAGCTCCAGGCTCTGAGCTGTCAGCACAGAGTCGTATGTAGGGCTTGAACTCATGAGCTGTGAGATCATCACCCAAGCCAAAGTCGGACACTTAACTGACTGAGCCACCCACTCAGCTTAACTGACTGAGTGCCCCTGTGATATTCATTTTAAATAGTAATTTCTAAAGTCACATTAAGGAGACATCACACTTATTCCTTACTTGCTAAGAGTTTTATCCTGAATCCACGTTGAATTTTATCAAATGGTGTCTGTGGAGAGGATTATGTGAATCTGTTAATGTAAAGAATTATAGTATGAGAGTTCCTAAAGATGGACTTTCTTAACATTTCTGGGTTTTTTTCTGATGTACTTCCTTAGTACAGTGCTAGATTTGATTACTAATGTTTTACTTAGTATATTTTCATTTATAACCAAGGTTGGTTTATAATTTTCTTCCATTTAGAGTAACACTAGTCTTATAAACTGTGTTGAAGCATTTCAGTTTTTTTTTCATGTTTGTTTTGAGAGACAACATGAGTAGGGCAGTGGCAGAGACAGAGTAGAGAGAGAATCCCAAGCGTGCTCCACTTTGTCAGCCCAGAGCCTGATGTGGGGCTCGAACTCACATGAGATCATGACCTGAGCCAAAATCGAGGAGTTGGGCACCCAACCAACTGTGCCACCCAGGCGCCCCGAAGCATTTCAGTTTTTTTTTAAGTAGAAAAACTGTTTAAATTTGCACTGTTTAAATTTTTTTTTTTCAACATTTATTTATTTTTGGGACAGAGAGAGACAGAGCATGAACGGGGGAGGGGCAGAGAGAGAGGAGACACAGAATCGGAAACAGGCTCCAGGCTCTGAGCCATCAACCCAGAGCCTGACGCGGGGCTCGAACTCCTGGACCGCAAGATCGTGACCTGGCTGAAGTCGGACGCTTAACCGACTGCGCCACCCAGGCGCCCCTAAATTTGCACTGTTTAAATAACAGGACTTGGTTTCTTAAAGATAGAGTAGAATTTTCTATCAGTAGAATTTTCTATGAACATCTTTTAGAAAATGGCTGTCTCTTGGCTCTTTTGTTTCCCTAAGTCTAGTAACATATCAGGAGCAAAGTAAGAATTTATTTTAACACTTGTTGAATAAATATTCTCTAGAAAAGGTTCTGGGAAATGATTTGCTACATAGAATTATTTGTTGTATTAACAGAGTTCATTGTAGTCAGAGAAAAACATTGTTACCTTGGCTAATTCACCAGGATATGGAATTACTCTCAAAGAGAAATACTGCATGGAAATCTGTCTTCATGGATAGATTTTCTTCATAGAAAGATGCTGTTCAGTGGTAGTCTAAATTCACAGCTAACATTTCAAGGAAAACAGTCTTAATTTGTATCATTGTGCGTAATTACTATGTGTAAAAAAACCAAGGTAACAATTTTACATATGTATTCATGTTTGGAGTTATTTTACTGTTTTCTCTTTTAAATCTTATTCTTTGATTTAGATTCATTATAATTACTTTATAGGCAGGTAATATTTTAGAAGTTAAAGTACTTTAATTTTAATATAACTGACTCTGTATCCATCCACATTTCCCTTTTTAAATTCAGTATTTTTAAGCATTCATAAAACTCTGGGTACATTATAGATGTAATTAAACATCTGCATATAATGCTAGGATTTATATAGTAAAGCAGTGGTTCTCAGTCAAGGTTAGTTTTGTCCCCAGGGGACATTTGGCAATGTCTGGAGACTTTTTAGTTGACACAGTGGGGGAATGCTGCTATCATCTAGTGGGTAGAGGCCAGAGATACCAGTAAACATTTTGTAACACACAAGATAGACCCCCCCACAGCAAAGAATTATCAGTCCCAAAATGTTACGGTGCCCAGGTTGAGACACCCTGTGGTAAAAGGAAAGATAAATATACAAATATGAATACACAGTGTAGAAAGGTGTTCTCAGACATGTGCTTTTTTTCTTCAGCTATTAGAATTTTAAATTCAGTCATAGTGTCCTTATGCAAAGTGTCTGAAGAATATTCTGCTCTTGACTGACATCTAGTGAGACATTTAAAAATAAAAAGTAAAGCTGGAAGTTGAGATTAAGCATGTAAATCAGTTCCTGCTAATGCTTATTTTTCCACTGTTAGGAAATTCACAAATGAGGAATCTAGGAAGAGATTAAATGATTTGTTTATGGCAACTGAGAAATTATTAGTTGAGAAGGAATAGAATATAGTAAACTCTTAGCTGAAGAACTTATCTCCTTTATCTTTCACTTATGTATTCCTGTTAATATTAGAGCTTAGAATGTAAAATCTTTCTTTTGGTAGTTTTTTGAGTTACCCAGGTGTAAGGCTTTTTGTGTTATAAAAGATTGTCTGAAATGATAGACTTTTAGAGACAAAGGAGACTGGTGTGTTTTAATCTGATCCCCTCATATACAGAGATGTAAAAAATCAGTTTTGGAGAGATGAGGTGATCTAATCCAATGTCATACAACTTGTTAGTGCCAGATCTTGAACTGAAACCGACAGATGCTGACTTCTAGTGCACGATTCTTTTAGGATAAGGAAAAGTTACTAAGTACACTTTGGATTCTATTTGAAACTTTTATGTTTTCTTTAACCAAATCATGAATATTAATACCATTGCATTGCTTTTTCTTTAGAAAGAATATATACATCTGTATGTATGTTTTAAATAAATTTGTATGTATTTTCTGTGTCTCATGTTTCATTCAATTTTTATTTGTAAATGTTATGCCAGTTTAAACATGAATATTTCACATTTTCCACAGGCCACAACCCCTCCAAATCAAGGACGCCCAGATTCTCCTGTCTATGCTAATCTACAAGAACTGAAAATATCCCAGTCTGCGCTCCCCCCGTTGCCTGGGAGCCCAGCAATTCAGATTAACGGAGAATGGGAAACTCACAAAGATAGTTCAGGGCGATGTTATTACTATAACAGAGGAACACAGGAAAGAACCTGGAAACCACCTCGTTGGACTCGGGACACAAGCATAAGCAAAGGAGATTTCCAGAGTCCAGGAGACCAAGAGGTATGAGTGATTAAGGAAATCAACCAGTGACTTACCAAATTTTCTCTGTTTCTATTATTCAAGATAAAAGAAGTGAATAGGTTTGTTTCTTGGTATTAAAATAGTAGAACACTTGAAATCTCTAAGATACTAAATGTTCTTTCCAAGTTTCATTATATTAATGCTACTTTCTAATATCTAACTAATAGACAGTAGCTAACCTTATAGTGTACTTACTAGTTCCAGAATTAACTCAAAGTTGCTTAGTGCCAGTTATAGAAGATACTAATTTGGTTATTGTTATTGCTGAATCAGTGACATTTTATAGAAAAAGGAAAGAAAATACAGATATGACTTAGCCAAACAAATAAAAACAAAGTTATTAACTGGTTAAAACAGACATTTTTCTGTATTGGTGTGGTATGACTAAGATACTTTCCCAGTTTTTGTCAGTCAGAGGTACAACATCGCTTTTTATTTATATGTAAGGAAAATGAGTAAATGTAATCCTTTGCTATAAATTAGCCACCCTGTAAAGTTTGACCATTCACTTTCAAGTCATTATTTTCTCTATCAAGTGTTCATACTACCTGTCCCCTACCTTTGTTTCACCTCTTTGAGGCTGGTGCAGTGAACTTGGCCAGCCATATTTTGAGTAACTCTCATGTCAGAAGTCTGGAGGGATTCCTTAGGACTGTTCAAACATGCAGGAGAGGCTTGGGTAGAATTGATAGAACGGAATTAAAGTCTCCTGTTTGATAGACGGAAGCCCCTATGCCCGCATAGGACACCTTGGTCTTACAGAAAGTAGCTGGATTGTGTAATAAAAACAGAACTCCAGTCACATAGGAGCTGGAAAAATCAGGTAGCACATCTTGTATTTAGCAGAATCTAAAAGCTTTTTGTAGTTAATAACTCCTCTTGTCCTATTTTTCAGTTGGTTATTTATAGCTTTGGTTTGGTGGTAACTTGTACTTTTAGTGTTCAAGAATGAGATCGAGAATAGTGAGAGAAATTTGCTCATGTGTTACTATAATAAGAAAATGTTGGGAAAATTATTTGAATTGTAGATCTAGAAAGATTTAAAATTATATTGTCCTGTGTATGAATAATAAAGTAAAATCTAATAATTTGGAAGAATTAAGGATTAAATTAAATTATAGAATAATTTAAAGGAATTTGAAGTATACACAGGAATTTTCAGTATGTTTTTTAGCTTTCCATTTTAATAAATACATGAGATTGATTTGTACATGAGAGTCTCAGTCTCTGCACAGATTGTTTCAAAATAGTTATTTCCATAGTAGCTGGAGCACGTTTTCCAGTAACCTCTTGAGAAAGGTTGCATACATTATATAATATTGAGACTTTATGTGTGAAAATGTTTATATATTTTTTTAATGTTTATTTATTTATTTTGAGAGAACGAGAAGGGGAGGGGCAAAGAGGAAAAGCAAGAATCCCAAGTAGGCTCAGCACTGTCAGCATAGAGCCCATCGCAGGGCTCCATCTCAAAAAGCATGAGATCATGACTTGAGCTGAAGTTAAGAGTCCGCTGCTTAACTGACTGAGCCACCCAGGTGCCCCGAGAAGGTTTATATTCTGCTCTTATATTTAATTGATAGCTTGCCTGAGTGAGTATAGAATTCTAGGTTGGAAATCATTTTTTCTCAAAATCGGAAAGCATTTTGAACTTTACTTTATGGCCATATGGATCAACTGCTTGTAGGGAGTCTCCAATGTCAGAACATTAGGTCTTTCCTTTTAGACTAATGAGTCTTCACAGAAGTCTTAAAATCTTCCAGGAAAGTAAGGGTTGCCAGGGTCTTGGTAGCTAGCATTTAGTGTGCGTTTAGTCTCTCCTCTTTCTGCTTGGTACTCATGTCCCAGTTGTGCGTGTTGTCTTTCAAATCAGAATCTTTTTTCCCTCTTAAGAGGGAGTGAATTCCTGTACTTCTGCTGGGAAAAGGGAAGGGTGCACACCTAGTGGTCAGGCCTGAAGGAAAGGGATTCTGGCAATTTTAGTGCTCGTTGCAATACCCTCTCTTCATCCCCAGTTCAAAGAGGACCTAATACTGTCAGTTCCTGAGCCATTTGAAGATTCTGCTCTGTAAAGTGGTTGGATTTCACTTCCCTCTCCAACTCCACCCACTACCCCCACCATTTTAGACTTTGCTCTTTGCAGATAATTTAGTCTTTTGTTCATCTGCTTCTCAGCTTCCAGAGTTTTGTGACTATTGTCTCTTCTTGTGTTCTCCCTGTTCTTGGGAGTTTAGGTCTTTTTATTAAAGCATATTTGAGTACTTCTAGTGGGGATTGAGAGGAAATAAGTGTTCAATCATCCATCTAATTCAGGCTTATTATTTTAGTGTTTAGCTAGAACAGTTGTTCTCAGCTGGAGATGGTTTTGCCTCCTGGTGACACTCCATGTCTGGGGACATTTTTGGTTGTTAGAACTCGGGGAGGGCTATTGGTGTTGATTGGGTGGGTAGAAGCCAGAGGTGCTATCAAACACCCTATGATATGAAAGAAAGCTCCCACAATGAAGAATTATCTGGTCCTAAATGTCAGTAGTGCTGCTGTTGAGAACCCTGCCGTATAAGTGTTAAGGTGCATGTATATCAAAGTCTAAAGTCAGTATCTTCTTGCTCTTTAAAGCCGTACAAGAACCGTGTGCTGTTTGCTGTTCTTGTCTTTTATTTCTGTTTTTAGCCCCTTCTTTGTACATGGTGTCTTTTAAAATTTGTCCTTGTATTTAGCACTTTCTTTTCTCACACTCCTTTATGCAAATTAGATATCTTGGTTAACTTTTGGTTAACTACTGTCTTAAGTATGTACTTTTAAATTTTCTTAGTGAAGATTTATTAGTGATAGAATCTAGTTTTGTCTGAAAATTTAATTTTCCTCATTTTTGAAGAATATCTTTACTTGATAAACAGTTCTGAGTTGACTGTTTTTTCCTAGTTCACGGACTATTTTATTCTCCTGTTTTCAGGCTTTCATTGTTGCTATTGCAAATTCAGCTCTCAGTTTGATTGTCATTCCTTGTCTCTTCTCGCTGGCAGCTCTTAAATTCCATGTCTGTAATTTTCCTATGATGTGATTAGGTGAGGGTATCTTTATTTCCTGCCAGGGTTTTTTTGAGGTTTTTGAACTTGAGGAGCCCTGTCTTTGATTAGTTCTAGAAGATTCTTGGTCATCTATATATAGCCTCTGTCCCATTTTCTCTTTCCTCTCATTCTGGAACTTTGATTAGAGGAACATTTAATCTGCTTACATTGGTCATGTCTCTTGATTTCCCTTATACTTGTGTATTGTATCTCTAGGTCTCTCTGTGCTTCTCAATTTTTAGATGCAGTTCCAGTTCACTATTCTTCACCTTTATTTGTTTTTGCATCTTTTTTCTGTAAGTTTATTTATTTATTTTGAGAGAGACAGAGACAGTGTTAGCAGGAGAGGGCAGGGAGAGGGAGACATAGAATCCCAAGCAAGCTCTGCACTGACAGTCCCAATAGGGGGCTCAAACTTACAAATGGTGAGATCATGACCTGAGCCGAGATTAAGAGTTGGACACTGAACCGACTGAGCCACCCAGGACCCCCTTCTTTATTTGATATTAAACCAATCCTTGAATTTTAAAAACCTGTTAGTTTTTATTTATCTGGGGGAGCTTCTCCATCTTTTTGCTTTGGAAAGTTTTAAACCTAAAGAATAGAATAGTGAACATCCATATACTAGATAGCCTTATTAGTCAAGATTTACCAGTTTTAAATTTTGCTACATTTGCTTTATTTCTCTCCCTCCTTCTGCTCTCTACCCTCCAGTAATTTTCTTCTGAACCTTTTGGATAAGACAACATAATATTTTATTTTCTAAGGATAAGGACATTTTCTAGCAAAACTTTTTTTTTGGTGAAAAATAATTTATCATACTCAAGTTTAATATTGGAATACTATTTAATACATAGTTAATATTCAGTGTTTCTCATTTGTCAAGTAATATCCTTTACATTTTTTTCCTGCAATAAAAGATCCAGTAAAGGATCATATATTTCATTTGTCCTATCTTTCTTTAGTCTTTTATTTTTTATAATTCTAGTATATAAAGTCTTTAAGAGTTGGATTATGCTGCTTTTTTGCTGACTCTAACTTACAGTGTTTTGTTTCACATCTTGTCCGTGTGTGTGTATTTTAAGATGAGATTATAGTTCATATATAGGAAGTCTTTAGTGCTGGGGTTGACAGTCTGTTCCATCAGAGAGGATTTGCTTTTGTTTCTGCCAGGAAGTTAGTATCCTGTGAACATTTGAAACTGAATTTTCAGCTTTAGTTTTTACAGGCCACCTAGGTACTAGTAATTTGGATTGCATGAAGACTGGTTTGTGGCTGGAGATTCTCCCATTTTCCCTCCCATTCTTCCATTATTTGGGAAGATTCCCGTGATTTCTCTTGTGTGGAATAAAGGGACAAAATTTGTTTCTGGTTAACTGATAATCTGAGGGTATAATTCTTTGGGGTCCCAGTTCTTTATTTTCAGGGGGGAATTCTGTTAGACTCCCTACTTTTGGTAGTCTTGAGTTCTGTTTCCCAATGCTTCATGACTTTGAAAAGTAATGTTCTAGTTTGGGGATTGGCAAATGCCTTCAAAGAGAAAGCTGGTCTTTATATTCTACTTATACTTTTGGATTCTTGCTTCTACTTAGTTTTGACTTCTGAGTATTTCTTAGTCAGTTTCTTGCTTCTTGATAATTTTTTTAAAAAATTTGGGGCACCTGGGTGGCTCAGTCTGTTAAGTGTCCAACTTCAGCTCAGGTCATGATCTCGTGGTTCATGAGTTCGAGCCCCGCATCAGGCTCCTGTGCTGACAGCTCAGAGCCTGGAAACTGCTTTGGACTCTGTGTCTCCCTCTCTCTACCCCTACTCTGCTCGTTCTTTGTCTCTGTCGCTCTCAAAAATAAACTTTTTTTTTTTAAAGAATGTGTTAAAAAATTTAACACAGGCACCCAGGGGTGCCTGGGTGGCTCCGTCAGTTAAGCGTCGGACTCTTGGATTTGACTCAGGTCATGATCCTACGGGTTTGTGAGATCGAGCCCCACATCAGGCTCTGTGTTGACACAGTCCTTGCTTGGGATTCACTCTCTGCTCCTCCCCTGCTCATTTTCTCTCTCAAAATAAATAAACTTAAAAAAAATTAATATTTTAAATTGTTTTAATCCAGGTACCCATTTCAGTACCTCTCTGTCATTCCCCTGTAAATGGGACATCTGTGTAGCCCCCTTTATTTCTACTAGGCCATGTTTGCTGCAAAATATATACCCCAAAGTTACTGAGCTAAGTATGCTGCTGAATGGAGTTATGAGTATATAGCACAGTTAACATTGACAATGCTTGCCAAAAATAATCTAACTTTTATTTAATTGCCACTAAATAGCTCCTTTCTAGCAGTAAACAGTCAAGATCTTCAAAGTACTCCTGGTTCTGTAATGAAATACATTGAGATACTGGAGGTTTCTTTTCATGGAAGAAAGGAACATCTTACTGCACAAAAATTGGGAAATGATGGGAGCATTTTGCCAAGTAGAAAGTCATATTTACAAAAAAATTGATTTAGTAACTTTGTTTCCTAAATTAATTTTACTAGTTTTTTTTTTATTCAGGCATAATTAACATATAATACTTTGTTAGCTTCAGGTATACAACCTAATGGTTCAATGTTGGTAAATATTATAAAATGATCACCACTATCTAGTTAATATCTGTCACCACTTGATTATAGAAGTTTTTGTCTTGTGATGAGAAGTTTTAATATCTACTCTCTTTGCAACTTTCACATATGCAATACAGTATTATTAACTGTGGTTGCCATGCAGTACATTATATCCCCATGACTTACTCACTTTGTAACTGAATTTCGTGCCTTTTGTCTCCTTTGCTCATTCAACCTGCCTTCCCCATCTCTGGCAATCACCAGTTTGTTCTCTGCATCCATGAGCTTGTTTTGTTTGGTTTTGAGGACTCTACGTAAGTGAGATCATATAGTATTTGTCTTCTCGCTCTGATTTACTTCACTTAGTATAATGCCCTTAAGGTCCATCCATGTTGTCACAAATGGTAAAATTTCATTCTCTTTTAGGGCTGAATATTATTCTACTGTATAGATTTCTTTTCTCTATTTCTAAAAGATTTTATTGTACTTTGCCTACATGAACTTATATTTTAAGTGGCCTCAATTAAATAAAAATAAATTCTGATTTTTGCAATAAGTTTTCATTAAAAAAAATTCCTGTTACAGAACATATATAGCGCACTTTATGCAAGGCTTCTGTAAAGTTGTTTATGTCAGTTTTTGTGTTATGTTATTATTAGTATGTTTGTATCTTTAAGTTACTTCTAAAACATTGAGAATCTACACATTTTACTATTTTGGACCATTTAGTATTTTAGTATTCTGTGGTGGGAGAAAATGCAGTCTGATTAAGTAAGATATAATTGTAGAAACTATTTTACCTAAAAGTGACCCAGGAAAGGTCATTTGCACCTGAGAGTTAATCTAGTAAATATTTGTTGAATTAATGACATTTAAGGGCAGTAAGTAAATTGCTACTCACATTATGATACTTCTTGTTTGAAAAAAGCAGAGATTAGGTTTTCTCCGTCTCAATCGCTTGTCTTATATGTCTGGATTCTCTCATGCTTTTATTTATTTTTATTTGTTTTTAAAATTTTTTAATGCTTATTTTTGAGAGAGAGAGAGAGACAGAGTGTGAGCAGGGGAAGGGCAGAGAGAGAGGGAGACACAGAATCTGAAGCTCCAGGCTGTGAGTTGTCATCACAGAGCCCCACATGGGGCTTGAACTCATGAACTGTGAGATACAACCTGAGCCAAAGTCGGAAGCGCAACCGACTGAGCCACCCAGGCGCCCCTCTCTCATGCTTTTAAAAGTAAAGTATACCTAAGTTACTTCCATACTGAATTTTTTCATCTATCATGTTTGAATTTTTTTAATATTATTTTTTCTTGTTTTGAAGTTCAGTTCCCAACCATCTTTAATAAACGTTTGGTTGAATGAGTTAGGAAATCTTGCCAATAATTTAGAATATAAAATACAGTATTATAAAACTAATGTCTCTTACCTCTCAGTTTCACACATTTAAAAAAATAATTCAAAATCTATTTTTTGAACACTGTCAGGCATTTGTCTAGGAACTTGTATATATAGGTGAGTGAGAATTTTTAAGAAACTCAGTCTAATGAAGTACCCTCATCCCCTATTTTGCTTACACATGGATGTGTATACCCATACACACATTCCTGTCAGTTTTTAACCTGATTTTGGTTCAAAAGCAGCATTAAATAGAAGGCAGCATTTTTATCTCTCAGTCTGAAAACATTGTTTTCAGTTTTATTATAGAGAATTTTTCCAGGGTTGCATTATTGTGCTAAAATAACCATTATTAATTTCACCTTACCACTTACAGTGTACTCTTTGAAAGACTAACAATTTGTTTTGAAAATATTGAGATATAGTCAAGATATCTTAGTGCTTCAGCCAGATACAGTTTATTGCTTAGATTTGCAACTGCTGCATATATATTTTTTTTTTCAAAGAAGAAAAATACTTATGTTTCTGACTATTTATAGCTTCTTTCATCAGAAGAAAACTACCACAGCATTTGTTACAGCCAGTCAGATAGGCAGTGTGGTTCTCCTCCAAGGGGTTGGTCAGAAGAGTTGGATGAACGTGGGCATACCTTATATACCAGTGACTATACTAATGAAAAGGTACATTCTTTTTTTCTCATCTAGTTTTCTTGGCAGAATCTTCTTATAAAATAGTTGTGTACTCAAGTTTGGTATTTTAAAAACTCATGAAAATATTCTTTATTGTAATTTTGTAGTCATGGCAATTGACAACATGAAAACTCACTATAACTACTGATTCATGGTTTTAAACTTTATAATTACAGTGATTCTTGTGGTGTCAAAACCCATTTAAGACAAATCTTTATAAGAGTAGACCTGTTGAGTGTCATTCTGTTTAAACTTCTTCAATAAACATATTTCTTTATATTTTGGGGGGGGGAATGGTTTTTAGGGAATCGTTTTCTCAGCATGTGTCACTATGATATACCGCTTCACTTTCTATACTTTTTATTTTATAACCAAGTTACGTAAAACAAAAACCATGAATCTAGTTATTTTATGATTGATTAACTATTTTGGGAATGCATATTGAAATTTTACGTATTATATCTCGTGTCATCAGAGAAGGTAAGGTTGTGCTTGCCTAGAGAATAGACCTTTGGGAATAAATGGAGATGGGCTTTTACCCCTCATTTCTGCTTTAATTATTTGACACTAGAACATAAGAAAACATTAGTTTTCATTTATTTCACTATTTTGTTTATATTAGCAGTGCTTAGTCTTTTGCCCCTCATATTCCCTGTGTTATTTTATACGAAGTTTTATTAGTATTACTTAAATCATGTTGAGTAAGAAATTTGTTGGCTACAGGAGGTAATTCCTAAGGGTTTGCATTAAGTTTGGCTTAAATTGTTCAATAGTTTTATATTTGAAGATTAAAAAAAATTTTCTCTTGTTAATTTCTCAACCTTGTTTTCAGAGTGAGTGTGGCTCTGTGTCTGGTGTATATGTGTATCTGTGTATCTTTGTTACATATTTCTTACATTAAGTGGTGCTTGGCATTGGAACTAGCTTGACACACTGGAAGAAAGAGAGAGAAAAGAAATTCAATTAAAGAAATTAATATTGAGTTTACTTATTTTTACCAAACTTAAAATACAAATCTATTAGTATAAGTTTGTAAATTTCTTTTATAGTGTTCTTGAGCAAGTAGAATAAAATTCCTAAGAAAATATCTAATATCTCTGGTTGTATAAGCTTAAACTCACTTTTACTTAAATTGAAAAAGTAACACCTATTTTGTTTTTATAGTGGCTCAAGCATGTTGATGATCAAGGTAGACAATATTACTACAGTGCAGATGGATCTCGGTCAGAATGGGAATTGCCAAAGGTAATAAACCTTAACACTGAATTTCTGTTTTAAATAGCAGATAAAATATTATCTGAAAATGGCTTCAGCAGATTTACTTAAAATTTTTATTCAACCTTTAAAGAACAAGACTTTTTTTTCAGAATTCACTGAGAATCTTTTTGGTAAATTTTTCTAAGATGTGTATTATCTTTATAATACTATATAGTACTGATAATTTCTATTCAAAAATTCTGGTTTAACTTGAAATCAGTTTTTCATCATTCCTAGAGATAAGCACCCCCTTCAGTGCCAATAATGACATCTTATACCTAGTTATCTTGAATATATTGAATTTTCTACGTGAGGTTGATTTTACGTTTAATCTTTTTTTTTTTTTTTTTTTTTTTTTTTTTTTTTTTTAGTGTTTATTTATTTTTGAGGGAGGATAGAGCACACGAAAGTGGGGGGTAGGCAGAGACAGAGGGACAGAGGATCCAGAGCTGGCTCTGCACTGACAGCAGCAAGCCTGACGCAGGGCTCGAACTCACAAACCGTGAAATCATGACCTGAGCCAAAGTCAGATACTTTACCGACTGAGCCATCCAAGTGCCCCTAATCCTTTTTTTTTTTTTTTTTTTTAGGAGGAAAAAAAAAGCTCAATATTCCAGTTTATTCTCATATGTAAATATGTGTTGTAATTGTGTCAGTAATTAGCAGCATGTGCTGATAAGATATTCTGGTCTCTCACTGGATATCTCCTTTCAGATAAGTACACTAGGGCTGAGTTTAAAAGGCAGCAGGTTTCAGAGTGGTCATGTACTTGTCACTAGTAGTATTGAGATCATTTTAAATGATATCGAGCAGGCTTTAAATTTTAATTGGTATATTATTTTGGTGTTTTAGAAAACAGCCATAGTCAGCAGACGTATCTGTAGTGTTAATTATCAGGTAAACTTCAGTTTTTAAAAAAATTTGTCTCTTTACCAAAGTCAGTCAATTTAAAGAAAAGTATTAGTATAAAGATACATATAGAAAAACTCACTATGTGTTACTAAATTGAAGATTGGGAAACACTATCTAGTAAAGTAGTAATGATGGTGGTTTCTTCCTATGTGAAGGTTATCTGCCTCTAATTCTTTTATGAAATTATAAGGGTTGATATTAGTAGAAAAAGATGAACCGCTTGTACTTGACTTTTAAGAACATCTTTGGGGCCTATCTTGAGCACTAGCATAAGAACTCCATTATAAGTCTGACAGCTTTTATTTTTAGTATTATCTTTTAATTTTGAGAGAGAGAGAGAGAGAGAGAGAATATGAATCACAAGCAAGCTCCATGCTATCAGCGTAGAGCCTGACCTGGGGCTCGATCTCATGAACCGTGAGATCATAACCTGAGCTGGAATAAAGAGTCAGACACTTAACCCATTGAACCACCCAGGTGCCCTTAAGTCTGACACCTTTTAAAATGTTTACATTTCAGGGCGCCTGGGTGGCTCAGTCATTGAAGTGTCTGACTTCCACTCAGGTCATGATCTCATGGTTTGTGAGTTCAGGCCCCACCTCAGGCTCTCTGCTGTCAACACAGAGCCTGCTCTGGATCCTCTGTCTCCTTCTCTGTCTGCCTCTCCCTCCCCTCTCTCTCTCAAAAATAAACATTAAAAAAATTTTTGTAAGTAAAATAAAATGTTAAGATCTCAAAGAACAATGTAAGTTGCTATAATGCAAACTTGATAACATTCGGGGATAAGGGTTGGGGATAAAGGAAATAATAGCTCTTTTGGTTAATTTGACTATCAAGTACAGCTCTGGATTTTTCTTGTGTTTAAAAAAAGCCTTGTCAAATCTTCAAGTGACTATTTATATTGACATATTTTAGCACTTATTTTACACAGGTACTTTCTCTTTTGTCCAGCTCAGCAGAAAAAAGTATTTCATATTTTTAACCATTTTTAGTAGTTTCAAAATGAGAAGTTGTGTTAAAATTTATGTATAGACAATAGGTACTACTTGTTGGGCGCCTGGGTGGCTCAGTTGGTTAAGCCTCCGACTTCAGCTTAGTTCGTGATCTCATGGTTTTGTGAGTTCGAGCCCCACATCAGGCTCTGTGCTGACAGCTCAGAGCCTGGAGCCTGCTTCGGATTCTGTGTCTCCCTCTCTCTGCCCCTCCCCCACTTGTGTTCTGTCTGTCTCAAAGATAAACACTTAAAAAAACACAAATGCTATCTGCAACATAATATATTACTTTTTTTTTGTTGTTTTGTTTTATGTTTTTATTTTTTTTTAAACATTTTTTTTAACGTTTATTTATTTTTGAGACAGAGAGAGACAGAGCATGAACGGGGGAGGGTCAGAGAGAGGGAGACACAGAATCTGAAACAGGCTCCAGGCTCTGAGCTGTCAGCACAGAGCCCGACGCGGGGCTCGAACTCACGGACCGCGAAATCATGACCTGAGCTGAAGTTGGCTGCTTAACCGACTGAGCCACCCAGGCGCCCCTATGTTTTTATTTTTGAGAGAAAGCAATAGTGGCAGATGGGCAGAGAGACACAGAATCCTTATCAGGCTCCAGGCTCTGAGGTTTCAGCCCAGAATCTGTTGCAGGGCTCGAACCCACGAACTGTTAGATCATGACCCGAGCCGAAGTCAGACACCTAACTGACTGAGCCACCCAGGCGCCTCCATGACATATTACTGTTAATGACGATAAGTTTTATATTTTAATTACAAAACTCCTTTATGCAAAGAGTTTTGAAGATATCACATTGTGGGTTTTCTTTTTCTTTTTAAGACTTAAGTTTTTTAAACAGTTTTAGGTTTACAACAAAATTGAGAGGAAGGTACAGAGATTTCTCAGATATCCCCTACACATGCATAGCCTCCCCCATTATCAACATTGCTTACCAGAATGGTATATTTTTTACTAAGGATGAACCCACATTGACACATCATAATCCCTGAAGTCCATAGTCTACTTTAGGGTTCATTCTTGGTATTGTATATTCTGTGTGTTTGGTTAAAAGTATACTGACATGTCCATCATTATAATATTTATGATGTATTTTCACTGCCCTGAAAATCTTGAAAATCTTGAAAATCTTATGGATGGTGTGAGTCAAAATATGTTAATACCCATGTGCTGGGAAAAGAATATGTATTTGGGGACATAATTATTCAATATTGAGAACTATGTAACAATGATTGGTTGTATTGGGCTTATAAAATATGAGATCTGCTTTTACTTGAAGACATCAGAAGATAAATCTGCTGGAAATTTAGTTCACTGAAAGTGATTTAGATTATAGAAGGCCAATATTTTATTAATATATTATTAATTAAATAATTTAAACATATATTAAATTTTTGTTCCACTTGACAAATTCTCATTGTAGCTCATATAAGTATGTCAAATATCATTTGAGTTATAGAAAAATCTTATTGTATTACATCTTCTTTCATAGTAGTTTCTGATTACCTGGAGTAATGAGATCAAACACAAGCTGCCTTTTGAGCGATTTGTCTCAGGTCAGGGTCCATTGAAAGAAGAGGCTTCCAGGATGACCTTATGTAAGGAGCAATTTGGAACCTATACTTAACTGGTAGCTAAATATTTGTTTTTGTATTAACTCCTGTACTTTCCTTGGTCAAAAGACTTAAAAGTTCACTATTAAGAAACTTGTTTGTGGAGATGCCCTGGATGAAAGAAAGAAGAGAGGCAAGGGACTAAGTGATATCAAAACCTTTAAGGATAGTTCCACAACAATGGAAGTGAGTGCTGATTGTGACCAGGAGTGAGTCATTAGTTTTGTGATATTATCTCATTTTCTGCCAATATTTGCCACTTGGACAAAGTCAGAATGGGCAGTTTCTTGAACTTCTAACTAAATTGGATGTAGGGAGGTTTGATTTGGGTACAGTGGGAATGAGGAAAAAAGACAAAATGTTTTAGAACCATTATTTAAAGGATTTTTACTGTATGATAAAGAAAATTATAGGTTAAATTTTGTACTCTAAGCAATTTACCACTTAGTAAATCCAAAATAAATTCTATCAGATAGGTTTGTAACTCCCAGTGCAGATAGATATTAGAAACTTAGCTAACTATTTTATGAATATATCTTTGTCAGCTCTGTGTAGGTATTATAATGGATCCAAATGCATAGGGCATGGTCTTTACCCTCAAGGAGTTTGCTGTAAATTTGGAAAGAAGAAACATGTTCATATGACAGCTAAGTGAGACAGAATACATATACACATACATTTATGCATACCTGGTTCTAAATTGGGTGTAGGTGAAGGAGATCCTAAAACTAGACAGGAGCAGGGTGCCTGGGGGCTCAGTCGGTTGAATGTCCGTCCAACTTCGGCTCAGGTCACGATCTCACATTTTGTGAGTGCAAGCCCTGTGTTGGGCTCTCTGCTGTCAGCATAGAGCCTGCTTTGGGTCCTCTGCCCATCTCTCCTTTTCCTCCCCCACTCGTGTCCTCTCTTTCTCTCTCTCTCTCTCAAAAATAAATAAACTAAAACAAACAAAAAAGTAGACAGGAGGAAGGACTGGGAGAGAAAAATAAGGATGAATGAAAAGAGAACAAAACAAAATATCCCCCACTCAAAATGAGTCTGGTATCCAAAATTCTAAGTAAAACACATAAAGAACCCCAATGCTTATATAAACATGAAAAAATCCAGAATCAGAACATTGTACTCCAGTTGAAATTATTTTTTAAAATAACTTAATGAAGACTTTATAAATATGTTGTAGATGTCTAGAGTTAAATGAAGTCTTTCATTTAAAAAGAACAAGAGGGGCGCCTGGGTGGTGCAGTCGGTTAAGCGTCCGGCTTCAGCCAGGTCACGATCTCGCGGTCCGTGAGTTCAAGCCCCGCGTCAGGCTCTGGGCTGATGGCTCGGAGCCTGGAGCCTGTTTCCGATTCTGTGTCTCCCTCTCTCTCTGCGCCTCCCCTGTTCATGCTCTGTCTCTCTCTGTCCCAAAAATAAAAATAAAAACGTTGAAAAAAAAATTTAAAAAAAAAATAAAAA